AAATTTATTTTGAGAAATATTAGTATCATGTCGTAATCTATTTTCAATTGCTCTATCCCATAGTTTTAAAGAATGACACATTAACTTAATTCCTCAATAATTTGCACTCTTGTGCAACAATTTTACTCTTAAAAATAAGAACCAACACAATCCTTCACTCATTTGACATCTTTTTAGTCTTCAAAATAATATTAAAAACCTTAAATTAAGCCAAGAAATTCTTTCATCCCCTAAACATTTTCATGCCTCTATTGGAATATCATAAGATCCAACTATATATATATATAGTATGTTATGATCACTAAAGTCAATCTTATTATTACAATCTTAATTGAATAACTTGTCAAAATATTTCATCCCCATAGGTTGAATATCATTTTCTAATAAAAAGACATTTTTAATCTTTATCCTTAATGTACTTCACTTGAATTAGATCCTTATTTTCTAAACTTTTACGTCTTAACCAATTTTTATAACAAAGCTTCTTATTTTTTATCTTTTATTGCACATTTTGATTCAACCACCAACTATTTTTATTATTATAAGTTTTTCTTTTTGATACTTCAAATACATACTTTGCAACATTTTTAATATCATTAGCTTTTTTTTTCACAAAACATTAGCTTTTTCAAGCACAATCAAAATTTTGAAATCTTGAATCTTATTCTCAAAAATATTTTTATTTGCTAAGATAATACTCAACATGAGATACAAACAAAATTAAGATCATAGATTATTTATAAAAAAATATAACTTGGAAAGCCGCCATACTGATAATTTATGTTGGAGATATTATCATGAAAGGTAATGACTTGAAAAAAATTAATAATTAAAAAAAAAACTAAAAGAACTTGAAGTCAAAGAAGTTTAACACTTTCGATATATAATTTTCATATTATTAAAAACAAACAAACAAACATAACATATAGGTTGAAAGATATATGTAAGTTAATATTTAAACTTTTTTAAAGCTCCATGAATTTTAAAATCTCATATTAGAGAATGATGGGTAGACTGATCTATTTATTTTATACCATACCTAATATTGCCTATGTCATTGGTGTGCTGATCAATTCACGCACAAAATTAAAGAATCCTACCTTAAGTCGATATATAAAATTCTACAATATTTAAAGGGAACACTGGGCAAAGAAATTTTATCAAACGAGCTAGAGGATTTGAGCATGCTCATCCATTGTCACTTCATGTTTGCTCTTAGCTTGAGAATCTATTAATTTACCTCAGGATCCCGAGTCTATTATACCTATCCCTAGTAGCCTTATAGATATGGCTTCTAAATCTTCTGTAAATAAAAGAATAGTTTTTTAACTCTATAGTCATGGTTATTCTGCCTCTCTATCCCATCAGTGAAGACAAAGACAGATGGTCATGAGATTACATAGTTTTGAGGGGGCCAATATGAGTTATAATGTTCTCATTGATAAGAGATTCCATATCCTATTTAGCAGACGGGGATATATAAAATAAAATATATTGATGTTCTCTAGCTTTCATCAAGCTTCAAAAAAGGCGATTTAATTGAGATCTTATTGTCCTTTGATATTTTTCAATATTACTAGATGTTAAATCCTTTCACTTTATGCTTTATATATTTACTCTTTTGTATTTTCTGTATACTATAAAAAATGTTAATGAATTGCTCCTATTGCACTTTATAAGAAAAAGGTGGACGATTTTAGTCTTAAAACATACACAGATGCAAATAATCCAAAATCAATGGTTGATTGGTCAGCTTCAAAATATTGCATATATTTAGAAAAAAACATCACAACTTGGAAATAAAATAAAATAAAATGTGGAAGCAAGATCTAGCACAGAAATTGAATTTAAATCTATGGAACTAAAGTATATAAATTGTTATGGCTAAAAATTGCTTAGAAAATTTAAATGTTAAATGGAAGGGTTCTAGGAAGCTTCATTATGATATCAAGTCAGCCATAAATCATATTACTTATAATCTCAAACAACATAACTGTACAAAGAATATTAAACTTAATAGGCCTGAGCTCTATCTAACTCTATGAAGGTTACCCACAGACTAGATGATGACCTTACGAAGATATATGATTTGGATTTGATACAATCTACTATTTTATAATGACTAATATGTCTAGACATCCATAAATAATAACTGATATATTGTAAGATTATGATAAGGTATAATATACAAATTAATGAATAATAAGTATAGTTATGATATAATTAATCTTGAGAAATGGACCAAAATGATCCCTTGACTCTTTACAAAAGACCAAAATGTTCCTCAACTATATTAAAGGACCATTTTGGTCCCTCAACTCTTTAAAAATAAACCAAAATAATCCCACCATACGATTATTTTGATTCTTTTTGAAGGATTTGAGAGACCAAAATAGTCCTTGAATATAGTTGGGGATCATTTTGACGTTTCATAAAAAGTTAAGGGACCCTTTTGGTCCTTTTCCCAATTAATATTAGTACACTTGACTAGTATAGTGCATACAATAGTTGGAAACTTGGCATTTTTTTTACACTTCAACACAATTACCTTATCGGTAAGTTATGCCATTATGTAACCAAATTCATTTAATAATCATAATATGTAATGCCACTACACTAGCCTATGATCATACTTTATTCCTATCCAGTTCATGATTAAAATATTGTTTTATTTCTTTTCCTTGAGTATTTCAATTATATATTAGAAATATTTATCATATCGCACTTTATAGCTCACTAGATTTTATTGGATTTCTGTTAGTTCAGAGTTGTGTTGGACATGTAGGTTCTAATTGTCCGGTGATTGAATTTATCACCACTCTCCCATGATGGATTGCGCTGGAGATTCAATCAATCGAATTGCACCTATAACTATCATATTCTATACTCGACCAAGAGGTGTCATATAGGGCATGATATTCATGTCATTACAATGATGACTATGATTACGTTGATCATTATCATTTAAGATTACATAAATTATTTTCTTCATGTTTATGACAATGATGATACCTCTACTCATCATCAAGGATTTCAAAAATTTTTACAAAGGCCTTATCCTTTAGTCCCATGCAATTCCTTACATAGGTGATAGGTCTCATATGTTCATTTGGCCTCCCAAAATTCAAAACCTTCTTTTGTTTATTCACTTGTGACAAAACTTTACGTTCCTTCTCTCCATGACAATTCTTCTTGATACATCGTCAAAAAATTATCTTGATCGAGCACGAATCTCAAGGCAAAATCAAGTTGGAAACTTCCGAAATTAAAATTAGGAGCATCCGATCTCCAATTTCAGCAAACTTACAGTCGAACTGAGCGTCTCGGAAATACGAACCCAACAACACCAAATTCGACCCAATTCGAGTCCAAATCGGTCCAAATCAAGGACCCAAAGTGCTGTTGGAAGGTTCAAACCGCAATTTGGATTACCAAACGATTTCCAAACAAAACAAGCCTATACTCGAATCGAGCGGCTCGACGAGCCGAATCCAACCAGCCCAAGATCACTGAATTCCGACATCACTAAGACATTCAAATATCCATCAAACAATTCATGACCAAGGGATTCAACATCGACCGTCCATCCAACCACTCCCAAATTGCCCTTGATCCTCCATCTATTTATGGGCCATGCCATTCCCAAAATCTATAAATAGAGCTCCATCTCCTCTTGAGAGGGGACCCCGAAACCTAAGGAAAAAAGAGAGAGATCAGAGATCGCTCTTGCTTCCTAGCCTCCTCGACCACCGCCGGAGTTTCGCCGGACCACTGTCGGAGTTCCGTCGAACCACCACTGCTCCGCCAACACCGGACTTTCGCCGGACCACCACTGGACGCCATGTGCTTCGCCGGACCATCGCCTAATGCCGTTGCTTCGCCGAACCACCACCTGACGCCCTGTGCTCCGCCGGACCCCACACTCCGCCGGACCACCGTCTGACGCCCTACGCTCCTCTGAACCACCACTTTAGGCCCCACTTTTGCCAGACCGCCGTCAGAGGCCCTCACCTTTGTCAGACCTCCACCCGAGGCCCTCGTCTTCGCCAGATCATTACCTAAGGCCCAAATTTCTGTCAGAACATCCTCTGAGGCCCGAAGCTCTGTCAAACCATTACCAGACACCCGGATTTCTATCGTACAATTGTTTCTTGTAATCTGATCGCCCTCAAAGGCGAGTCAACCCATTGTAACCGACTCAAATTCTAGTGGAATCATTTTCAACTGGGCTAGACCCCGTGGTTTTTCCCCTTTCAAGGGGTTTCCACGTAAAAAATCTTGTGTTCTTTGTGTGTGAGCTGGATATCCGTACAAAGCTAAGACGTACAATTAAAACTCTATCGCCACGTATATTCTAGCCCGCAACACTTCTTAAGAAGAAGTTCATGATCATAGGCATCTTATAGATGTTGAATTTATGATGATCAATATACTTACACAAATCTTTTTTATGATAAATTAGATTTTGAGTATAGTTATGATATGCTCGTATTTGTGTTTACCATCGTGCCTATGATTGATCATTAGTTAGTATCAAATGAAATGCCTGAACCAAAGAAAATTGTTGAGCATGAGATAAATAATGTTTCATGGAGATTTTTGCATTGAGATATCTTTAGAGATATGTAAGCTAATAATTGATCTTCACAACCTTCCTAGAGATATTTCTACTCTACTTCACTTGCCCACTATCTTTGGAGACATATGCTGCTTCAAATGATTATAATTTACTTCAATTATACATATCAGTTTTATGTCACCACTGCCACTATCATTACTTAACACACTATTGATCCACGTTGCAGTTTTTATTCTACATTTCCCTCCACCAGTTTTGATATCACAGCAGCCTTCATCATCCTAAATCAACTCATTTAAGAAGAAGCTCATCTCATACATGTGTGTCAGTGGGTGCGCTCGTGCTGGAAATTCGATGTAGGTATATATAGATAGATAGAGAGAGAGAGAGAGAGAGAGAGAGATGGAGTTAAAATGTGCACCAAAAATGAAAAATAGAAATATTGCCAGTGAAGTAGGAAATAAGAAGCTGAAGAAGTCCCACGCATATGTTGATATCCAATATGCCAATACAGACACCTGATTAGAACACAGTTTAGTAAACAAACCGTTAAAATATGGAAGAAGCTATAATAAAGAATAAAATACCCCACTAATCAGCTGCTGCTGTTTGGCTTTGACTTCACGCTCCTGCAACATTTTGGTATGTTCTATCAGCAAAAAGAAAGCATCTTTCAAAAAATAATTACCAAAAAAACCATGCATAGTGTTGAAAAACCAAATATTTTAAACATTTTATGGTATTGTTTACCTTTTTGTCATAAATTGTAAGGATATCTGTAACAATTACATTGATTGATATCAATAATTAACTTATCAAATAGAAAAAATGGCCGAGAATCCTTTTTGAGGGTAGCCCCAAGAATGGATCCAGTGGAGACAGGGAGATGCTATTCAAGTATTTCTTCATGCTTTAATTAATACACGTCTTTTAAAATATAACTAGCTAAAAAATTACCTCAAGGAAAATTGAAGTTGGGCTGCCTGCATGAAACGTTTAGGTTACTGAATAAGCACACTACTTAGTAGATAATACATCACTTAAAAAAAACCACAAAACAACCATAAAATTTCATGTTATAAGGCACCTTCCATGTTTGTACTATAACAAACATCAAATTTACATTACCCAAATCACTTCAAGTCTTGTAAGTCAGACTTTATTAAGGCCATTCAGCCGAGTTCAACTTACAATTAACCCCTTAGGAAAACATTCTCCATGGGCCTACAAAGTCTCCAAGAATGATAAAACTCATGAATGTTAACAAGGATCATATGATTAAGTTGGGTCAATTATCTCTGTGACAAAGTAGACCGAAGTCAACTGCTACCCAGCATGATCAAACCATGAAATTTTGATCAAATTCATCAACTTTCTCCCAACATATGCTCGAAGCTATGGTTGATATACTTTCCTATTCCCTAAACCAAATTGCTGCTACTATAAGCTAGACATTTAGAGCCTCTTAAATGACCTCAATCAAAAAATTTCTCTTGTTATTGAGAGAGGTAATTAACCATGGGGCTCATGCTTACAGAAAAACTCAAAACAGAACCCTTTAAAATCAAAGTGAATATCTAAGTGGCGTGTTATTCGATATCCAAATAGGTTCCTGAACTTGAAACTACTAATATAATGAGTCAGGAAAAAATTTCCTGAGTCCCAATCTTGAGATCTAATTTATATAAGATATAAAGTTGACATAATCTAAAAGTAAATGGTTAAATCCACAATCTCAATCCTTAGAAAATAAGTATGTAGAGTCAGCAATGTTTCCAGTGCCATGATTCATGCAAGACAATAAAAAATAATTTGAGCATTTATTCCTACAATGGAATCATTAACTCAATCATAACCAAAAGAATTTTAAATAATCCTGGGTTCCTCAGAATAAATCAAATAACATACCATAAGTTTACCCCCTAAAATGGATTCAATTATTAGGATATCACAACCATAGTAGATCCTATCATTAAATTGCTTCAAATACTAACGAAAATTACTTCGGGCTATACACACACATGATAGAATACAACAACAACATCAAGCCTTTATCCCACTATATGTGGTCGGCTACATGAATTATTTTTCTCCATTATATCCTAAGAGTCAGATTCTCATTTACATCTAATAAAAAAAGGATTATTTCTAATACTATCTAACCAAAATTTTTAAGGTCTAACTTTACCTTTATTAAAATAGGTCAAATTTAATACATCTACTCTCCTAACCGGATCATCAGAAGACCGACATTTTATGTAACCAAACAATCTAAGGAGACTCTCTCTAATTTTATCTGCCACAACAACTACTCCAACCTTTTCACATATATACTCATTTCACATTCTATCCCTAAGAGTAAAACCACTTATCCACCCGAGCATACTCATCTGTATAACACTTAACTTGATTTTATGATTCACTTTTAATGGTCAACATTCTCCTCTATAAAGTATTGCAGGTCTCACCACCATCTTATAGAATTTTTCCCTTAAGATTGAGTGGTACTTTTCTATCATACAACAGACTCGATGCATTCATCCACTTCAACCATCCAACTTGAATTCAACTAATAATATCACCATCTATTTCACCATTATTTTAAACAATAGATATGAGATGTCTAAAATATAAACTCTTTATCACCTAAATTCACAATCTTACCGCTAGATCTATTATTACTAAAATTATATTCCATGCATTCAGTTTTAGATCTACTCAAATGAAAACCTTTAGACTCCAAAGTTTACCTCCATAATTCAAGTTTTTCTTCAACTCCCTCTCTAGTCATATTAACAAGAAAAATTATCATCAGCAAAAAGCATAAACTAGGATACATCCTCTTGTAAATGTCTAGTAAGAACATACATGACTAAAGTAAAAAGATATTGGCTTAAAGCCGATCCTTGATGTAATCCATCTGAAATAGCTACTGCATACATATCCTTAATGACTTGAATATAAGCATTATTAACTCCTTTCTTATCTATAATTCTTCAGAACACTTCTTTCAAAACTTTATCATATGATTTCTCTAAATAAATAAATATTATATATAGATCCTCCTTATTTTTCTCTATATTTCTCCATCTAACATCTCAATAAATGTATAGCTTCAATAGTAGAGCTACTCGGCATAAATCCAAATTGATTTTGAGAAACATTACTATCATGTCGTAATCTATGCTCCAATTACTCTCCCCATAATTTTAATGTATGACATACTAACTTAATTCCTCTATGAATCGCACAATCATATGCATAAACTTAATTCTTAAAAATAAGAATACACTCCACTCATCTGACATTTTTTAGTCTTCAAAATAATATTGAGAAGTTTAATAAGCCAAGAGATTCCTTTATCAATAAGCATTTTCATACCACTATTGAAATATCATCAGGTCCAACTACGTTTTCAAAATTCATTTTCCGTAAAGCCTCTCTAAATTCGATTTTACTAATACCACAACAAAAATAAAAACCTTTATTTTTATTTAGGGTGTTAAGATCAATAAATTCAAATGTATTCTCACAATCTTCATTGGAAAGTTTATCGAAATATCTCATTCACCATGTTGAATATCCTAATCTAATAAAATAACTTTTGATTTTCATCCTTAAAGCACTTCATTTGAACTAAATTGATGGGGACATCAGATCATCATGGAAAGTTTATCAGAGATGTGGCCGCCGATCTACGGCCACGATCGAGTCTTTATATTTCTGAGTCATTTGTGTATTTTATTATTCATGTATTTTGTTATTTGCTTAGGTGTGTTTTATTATTTCCCGTTGTACCTCTCTTATGGGAGTTGTCGTATGTAAGCCCAAAGGGCATTTGTGTCTTTTGTTTTGAGTCATTTGTATGAGGCTATTTAAAGCCCCACTTTGCTCTATTTTGATTAATGAATGAATGAATGATTATGAGATATTTATCCTGCATTTGTCTTCTTGGAGCTACTGAGAGAGCTTGAGAGAGAGAGAGAGAGTTAGAGATCTTGGTGGAGCCTAGGAGAGGCCACCCTTCGTACCCAACAGTCACCACCACCGGTGGCTCTTGGTTCCCCTCCCTTCTTCCACTTTCAACCCCAAGGTTACGTCCCTCACCCGAGCCCCTTTCTCCCCCTCTTGTTACCTTCGGCCAAGGTCTTATCCGAGCCCCTTAGCTGCCGGTCTGAGGCTAGTTGCCGCCGGCCACCTTCCACCCTTCCCCCTCTTTTGATTTTCCCTCCTCTCCGATTTATTTCATAATATGGCTTAATATATTGATGTAGACAAGGGGGGGGGGGAGTCAAATCAAACCTAAAAAAATTGATTTTTGACTTCTCCAGCTCATTAATGTCAAGTGAAAGTTAGCTCATTATGTGCTGATTTTTAGTTCATTTATGGAGCTAAAAATTAGCTCATTATTTATTTGATCTTGTCTATTCTCCTTCCCCCCTTTGTCTATTCGTTTATCGTGCTTGGCTCTTGGGTTCCCGTGCCATGGCTCCTTGGTTTCATGGGTTGGCTGCTGGTTTTTCGTGCTGGGTGGCCTTTCCCGTGCCTTGGTGCTTCGGTTCCGTGCGGGCCTCCTTGGCTTTTGCGGGTGCTTCTTCGGATTCCGCCTGGGCTGTTTTTCGTGGCTGTGATGCTTTGTTTCTTGGAGTAATTGTTGGCTTTTCATCTCCCTCATTTAATATAGAACGTGAAGAGATTTTGGGGCTATTTTTGGACAGAATTTGGACAATTTTTTGGACTGATTTGGTGGCTGTTTTGGGAGGAATTCCAAGAGACTTTTGCTGATTTCTATGCAGTTTTCTACTGCAGTTTTTAGGTGTCTTTTGGCCTTATATCTTCCTATTTTAATTAGCTTTTAATTAAGTTTTAGTGGTTGTTTGTATTCCTTCTTTTGTGCCTATAAATAGGAGTTGTTTGTGGCTGTTTTAGAAATGTGTTATGATGTGATTTTTGGAAAATATAAACCTGCGGGTTTCTTTGGAAAAGCTTGCGAGCTTTGTCCACCTTCTTTCTCATCCCCTCTGGAAATCTTGCGAGCTCTTTCCAACCTTCGTCTTGGCTTCTAATCTCTTTTGTCTCTCCGCAAGTACCACTCAATCTGTATCCTTCTTTTCAAAGTGAAGCAAGTTTAGGGTGTCCTGTTTGAGTCTTTATTTGTAAGTCGTTTAATTTTAAGAGTTGTAAGTCTTTATTTATAAAAGTGTTCGTTTATATGAAATGTAATAGTTTGTTCTAAAATTTCTAAGTCATCTCTTCTTTTTGGATATTTTGTGTCTTCTTTTATATAGGAAGTCCTTTTTCTTTTTGTGATAAAAAATTTGGGCCCCTCTCCCAAATTTTTGATTACATCATATATTTAGGAGTATATTTGAATTCAAATTCAAATTATTTGAAATTCAAAATATTGCCTAAAAGTATTAACACCTCATTCAAATCAATTTCTATTTGATTAGGATTTAAAATCTTCTTTCCTAATTTATATATCCTAATCTAGCATACATTAAAAAAAAATTATCTCAAACCCTTTTTCCCATTAACTGCCGCCGGCCTTCCCCTGGATTTAGAATAGGAAATCTTCTTTAAAACCAATTTATTCTCTTTGGAAATATTTCCAAATCTGAGAATTTTG